CCATAGTCCAGTTGCTCAAAGGGGATATTATGCCACAATACTTAATGCGGATACCTGGTATCTTCTCTCTTTTTCTTTAACACATGGATTTTCTTGTGGTGAGAGAGGTGTATTTGGCACCTTTGTAAAGGCATATTGATCAGTTCTTATTTTTCTGTGATCTTGGCGAATATTCTGGCATTGCAAACCCACAGTGATTTTAGCGCAGTGTAAGAGTTCAGTATATAACATTGCCCAAAGATGGGTAAACAGTCATTTGTGGAAGGCCTTTGATAAGCGATGGTGGCCTGTTCAGAGCCTTGTCTTGTGACTTAATCCTTACCATGTGGTTTGTCTCTGTGATGCAGCAGGCAATTTGAAACCCTCCATATGCCTGCAACTGTGGAGAGGGATGTGGTTCTGCACACGTTAAAAAATATGTGCAAGGGAGACCAGATGTCTATGTGGAAATTGTCTGGATTTTAAAAAAAAATCTTTACAAAAATTGTAAACTTGCAGACACCAATTTTCTTGGTTTGTTGTTGTCTGCCTTTCACATCATATCCGACTTATGGCAACCCCAAGGCAACCTTATCGTGGGGTTTTCTTGGCAAGATTTGTTCAGAAGAGGTTTGCCATTGCCTTCCCAAGAGGCTGAGAGTATGTGACTTGGCCAGAGTCACCCAGTGGGTTTCATGACTGAGCAAGGAATTGAACCCTGGTCTCCAGAGTTGTAGTCCAACACTCAAACCACTATGCCATGCTGCACATACTCTATGTGCGTGTCTTTGTGGACTTCTGGAAGGTGATTTGCATTTTCCAGAATTCAGGATATTGTGATTATTGTTATGACACACGGAGGATTGAAAGTTTATTTAATAAATAGAGTGAAAATTGGGGTATAATTGGATATTGGAGAAGAGTCATTCACCTTTTTGAAAAGTTTTTAGAGAAGGATGCTGTAATTTAGGGCTCGGAAACTTTGGCCAGATGTTTTGGATCACTGTTTCAATCACCCCATTCCATTGCTCATACTAGCTAAGGCTCCTGGAGATTGAACTACAAAACATCTGGAAAATCAAAAGTTTCACACCCCTGCTATAATTTCTGCCCTTGTTGAGGACTGGAGGACAATACATAACAATAGAAATGAATTGCTTTCTGGGCCAGATTGACTAAAATTGGGGCTGGGGCGGAATAGCATACAAAACATTGTCTGGAGCATGTGGCTTGGTACCCTAGTTTGTCACCTGAAGCTGAAATGTATGGCATTTGGTTTTGTACTTGATTACCTTTGGTCTTTGCTATCCCACTTTGTCTGGTCTGAATTATGTAGCTGATATATGAAAGGTATCACTGCTTTGCATGTATTTAAGTGAAGGAAGTTTGTATTTTGTGGCAGTTGGGGTGTTTTAAAATAGGTTAATCTCCACATAGAGGCCTAAGAGTAAAGTAAAGGGAAGAGAACAATGAAATGCACACACAGTAAATGCATTTAATTCATTTAATTCCATAAGCCCTTCCCCATTCTGGCCAAACATCTCTAGTTTCTAGGGTTCAGTCATGATCCTGGAATGCAAAGCTAACATGCTTTCCGTTGTTGTTGTAAGAATTATGTGTGAAGACCATATCACTGACGTTCTGTTTGCAGACCATTCCTGCAGAATCTGTGCCAGTTATTACACAGGACTGCAGAACTCTGCACCATGAATTCAAAAGCAGACCTGCTTAAAGGGTTCAAATAACACATGATTTTAATTTCTTACTCTGATTTCTTTTGGTTCAGTTAGTCATGGCTGAGGAGCAAGAAGGATGCAAGAAACTCATCTCCTGCCTTCCCACTGAGTTTTATACAGGGCCCACTCTGGCTTTGCCGATCGTTGTCCATGCATTTTCAAACTTGGTTTACCATGTTTATGGACTAAACATTTATTTTTCTTTCATTTATTTTTCCCAAAAGAAAGAAAGACAGAGAGAAAAAAGAAAAGAAAAAAAGATCAGAGAACCTCATGATACTGACTTCTGTGAGCAATATTAAATTCCACACTTGCACAAAATTACAAGCTAGACATAGTTGTGTTTATAAATGTGGGCCATTGTTCACACACAATATTTTGGGTCCATATTCCTGATAGGGGAGGGCTGTAGCTCTGTAGAAGGGTGCATGTTGTGCCTGCAGAAAGTCCAGCAGCCAATCTTTGTCATCTCCAGATAGGGCTGCACCTGACCCATGTCTGAAACCCAGAGAACTGTTGCCAGTCAGGGCAGATAGTACTGATCTAGATAGACTAGTGGACTAACTTAGTATAAAGTAGCTTCCAATTTTCCTGTGATAAATCACAGTTCCTGGTTTTGCCTCTCAAGGAGATTCTGGGGCACCCTTTCTTTAATTTTTTATTAAATTCACACATGTACAAGGGATGCAGTGGCTCAAGTAGTTAAGACGCTGACTCTGTTGATTGCAAGATCAGCAGGTTGGCACTTCGAGGCCCAGGTGCTGCATGGTGGGGTTTGCTCCTGTCACTAGTCCCAGCTTCTGCCAACCTAGCAGTTTGAAAGCATGCAAATGCAAGTGGATAAATAGGTACCACTTTGGTGGGAAGGTAAACAGCGTTCTGTGTAGTCATGCTGGCCACATGATCACATATTCTCTGAACGCTGGGTCTTCGGCTTAGGAATGGAGATAAGCACCTCCCCTATGGTCGGACACAACTTGACAACCTTATCAATGGGGAATACCTTTACCTTTACCTTACCTACAAGAATTGCTGTTAAAAACGTTTCAGCACAATCCACTGAATTTCTAAAACAGGATTGGCCAGTGTGGCTTGTGGCTCTCTGTTCCCAAAAATGAAGTGGGAAGTTGATCTTCAGCCACTTCCATCTTCCTTGCACCCCATTTTTTTTTAAAAAAGAAGCTGTTGTAGTCCATTTGGATGTGTTTGTGTGTTAAAATTAGCCCTTTGTCCATCAGATGTTGTCCATTCCTGTTCTTGGAAATTCGTTGTTGGTATGGAGACTAGATGCATCTTAATCTGTCTTACACATGCACATAAATGCACATACCTGGACACTAAGGTACCACCATTTTACATGCTGCAGCTAGTGAGGCAGTTTGAACTGCATAGTAGCACATTTATTGAATTATGTTTTAATATAAAAATACTGTTTTTCTTTTAAATCATATAACTAGCTCTTGCTTGTTTGCACAAGCTTACACTATCAAGATATTACGTGTTCTTGAATGAGTTCTAAGTTGTAACTGTTCTGTACAGAGTAGGAATAGATCTACATATTATGAGATTAAACATTTCTGCTAAATATTCACTATCATGGGGTTTTCTTGGCAAGATTTGTTCAGAAGAGGTTTGCCCTGCCCAAGATTACCCAGCGGGTTTCATGGCCGAGACTGGGAATCGAACCCTGGTCAAAGTCATAGTCCAACACTCAACCCACTATGTCATTCTGGCTCTCAGAAAAAATGACAACTTTTACAAGTGTATGCTTCTTCTTTCTATACGTCAACCTGATAAAGAGTCCTGTTTGACTTGACAGCTTGCCCAACTACATTTCACAAACGAATAGGTCTAATGAGGCGTCGAGTTGCTTGTTTCTGCATCTCTTTATTTTGCGTAGTGGGCCGCCCATGCTTCGATTTGGCCTTGATGTTGAAAGGATTTCAGGTATCAAAATACAGTCAGCCCTCTGTATCCAAGGGATTTATTGTCCACGGATTCAAGCATCCACAGCTTGAAAATATGAACAAATATATATATATATATATATATATATTCCAAAAAGCAAACCTTGATTTTGCCATTTTACAGGGAACACCATTTTACTATGCCATTCTATTTAATGGAACTTTAACATCCACAATCTTTGCTACCTACAGGGGGTCCTGGAACCAAATACCAAGGGACCACTGTAGTGGCACTAAATTGTGGCACCTTCTACTTTTCTCCCAAACCTTAGCATGTTTGCAAGTGTGTTGAGCCAGCTTGGATTCAAAGCCACATCTGTAGACACAGCTGTGTGTGTGTG